ACATTTAAATGTGTTATTATATGTGTCTTAAGATTTTTTATTAGATTTTTTCGGTTATGAGAGAGAAAATTGGTTTGAAGTTTACGCTTTGGAAAAAACATTTTAAGATTTATCTCTAATCAATTTAATGGACTCAAACTTTTTGATAAACTTCTGTTTGGACCATAAAATAAAATATTATTTTTTGTTTCGTTTCAATTTGACTCGAAATTTCAATTTAAACTCAAATCTCATTCAAGAATTGTATGATTTTATGCAATATTCATGTGTATCAATGCAATATCAATGCACACACAGTAGCTATTTAGATTATATTTTCATACATATCACCACAAATGCAATTAAATTCATTTATATTCCAATAGTGTACTTAACAGCTAATAGTGTATTAATATAATCAATACCTGCATCATGAACTAGCATAAGATATGCCCACAAAGTAATGGCTAATCACTTTCTACATTCACTATAATTACTAAATGCAGTGAATTGAAATGTGCATAGATACATTTGCAAATATTGTACATAGTGTGCACAATTACATGACATGGAAATTAAATAACCAGCATCAGTATTAAAATTACCCCCTAATCTGATCACTTATCCCAAAAAATTGAAACCAAAAGTCAAATACAAAGTGAAATGAAGTGAAAACTTCTTTTTTAACGCAAATTGTTTGCAGTTTTCAAAGCACTGACTGCCCTCTGAAGGCGTAATCACGCGATTAGAGCCGTAACTAAAAAAGTCTCAAAAGTTTTAAATCAATGTTTTGGACGTGTTTTAAAAGCATAGCATTGAGTGAATGGTTAACTCGGAGGCAGAAAAGACCATTACTTTTGTGTCCCATTTCTATGCATTAATAAAAAGTGTGAAGAGATTGGGAGTTAGAGTTAGTCTAATAGTCTAATAGTCTAATAGTCTACTCATACCTACTGAGGCAAACATCTGCTCCCGTAGTCTTCTGCCATAAGCTAACGTCTATACTGGTAGTGAATATTGCCTGTCCATCGCCCCTACCTGTGCTATACAAACCCCGACACAACAAAAATATAGCTCACATTATACATTGTATTTTACGTGAAAAACAAGTGAATTCATTGCATTGAATGCCGATTTCTAATGCATTTTCGCCTCTTTTATGAACCAAATTAGATATGCATTACTACCTGACGGTGCGCTCGACATGAGGGCCCGGGTTATAGGTATTCATGCAATGGGAAGGCACACAAAAATACAGTATATTTTGTAATCAATTTCCGATGCATTCAAAGCTAATGTATTTTAGAGATACTGTTATGTGTTGACCGGATTTGTGGTGAAAAATATTTGTACCATTAATTCAATTATTGAAAATTCCTTTAGTTTTTTGAGTCAAAACTCATACCGACTGTCTATTAACAGTGGTAATGGTGCTTGTTGAAAACTATTATTGGTATTTTCAATTTCATTGCCCAATAGTTAAAGTCTCAATGTATGGAAATGTATGTAAATTAAACATTAGTTAGCATTTTTACTGTTTATATTTACATTTATTTATAAGCAAAACATACCTACCTGTCCATTGACACACGCAAACATATTGGCACCTTATACTTACTTTCCATTAGTGTACAAATACACACAAACTCTCTCTCTCTCTCTCTCTCTCTCTCTCTCTCTCTCTCTCTCTCATCAATGGTTTGCAATCTTTTGTCCAATTTTTCAATTCTCGATTACAAGTGTTTTAAACAGTGTTTCGTAAATACTCTTGAGTTTAATTTTTCAAACCCTTATGTTTTGAGGCCTTTTATAAAACACATTTTTCTCTCGGTTTATATGTTTTCATACGTTTTTCAATATTTTAAATTACATTTCCCTCTTTTGAATGCAAAGTTTTCGCAACAATTTTTCAAAAGCCATATTAAAGTGCATTAAATTTTATTTCCTCGTAATACTCTGTTTTGTGTTTATGAAATAATAATACTAATGTAATAATTTTAAAACACAAATGTTTTGCATGTTTGGCGAATAAATGCAATAAATATATACACAAACGAAATTATAGATAAAATATGCATACATTTCGCTGCGAAAGGCGTTCATATTTATTTATATAAACTTTTTGGCTCTAAATTAGCTTTTTATGCATATATACTGTATTTGATACATATTGCGAAACCTATGCTATAATAATAGAGTATATTCTGAGTGCAAAGAATTCTTTGACATTTTCTACTATTATTTCATTCAACACTTTAATTGTGGATTCAATTAGAGTTTACTATAAATATAACGATTGGAAAGCCTTATGTTCACAAGAATCGGGAATTTCATTGAGAATATCAATTTGCCTGAAACACCACTTCCCCCACACATACAACCGCCACTTCACAGCACTCTTGGTGTGAATGATATTTGATTTTTGTGTTTTGTAGGCGTTTTGTGTGAGTTTCTTATGGATTGCAAAGTGAATGAATATATACATTGAATACCTGAGAGTAAAGTTCTCTATTCTTTGTCCACTTTTTTATATCCATTTCTTTATATGTTTTTATTATTTTTAGTATCTTTTGTTTGTTTTGCTGATTCCCTAATGAAATGGTCAAACCATTCATAGGGCCCACACATGAATGCCAGTCAATTCGTGGCTCAACACCTGATTCTGGAGCTCCACTCTGACTGTGTGTTGAGTTGTGTACAGAATATGGTATATATGTGTGTTTTGTTGTGCTATTTGTATGTGACGTCTAAATCACTTAATTCCTCAATTTCTGAGCTTTTTTTCTTTGCCTTTAATATATCGCTCGTATTTCATGCTTTCACTCCAGTAGTCGAGCCTTTAGTTGAGTTAAGAAATTCTTTTGCAATTTATTTGATTAAATATAACCTCAAAAGAATAACCCATAAATGTATAGCCATCTCTCTCTCTCTCTCTCTCTCTCTCTCTCTCACTTATTTCTCATGACTCTGATTGCGGTTAAATTGCGAATCCTATAGAGTTTTGTAGTTAACATAGGGTGTAGAGTTGACATAAACATTTGTAGATATTGTTAGTATAATATTTTGTGTGTCGAATCGTTAGACACGAATAGAGGCCTCGAAAGCGAGTCTATTAACGCAAACCACAGCTAATCATAAGTTAATGTCTTTTCCTTTCTCTCTCTCTCTCTCTCTCTCTCTCTCCTACCGGTGCTTTGCTCCTTATATTCTCACTGTAAGTTTGGCTAACTTTTTATGTTTACTTTTTATTTTTATTTTATGATGTCTTATAAAATATTTCTTACGATTCTGTGCTTTATATCCACGAAATTATACATTTGTAGCAAATCTTATTATTTATAGTATTGCTCTGTTTTTTTGTTATTAAATTTGTTTCACACAAAAATTTTGATCTGATTTTTATACTTTACTGTATGCCTCGCATCCAATATAAAGTGTTTGACAAAAGGGCATTTACTCGTTTATTTAGCTTTAAAAATCGTACAATTATGCTAGAACAAAATAAAAATTTTTGCAACTATTGTTTTTTGGCACCAATCTAACGGTATGCCCAATTTTATCCAGACATGAGGGGAACGGTAGATATGCCTGTCCATCAATAGCTCAAAAACATTTTTATTTTATGATGTCTTATAAAATATTTCTTACGATTCTGTGCTTTATATCCACGAAATTATACATTTGTAGCAAATCTTATTATTTATAGTATTGCTCTGTTTTTTTGTTATTAAATTTGTTTTCACACAAAAATTTTTGATCTGATTTTTACTTTACTGTATGTCTCGCATCCAATATATCTTAATTGAATTAAAATAATTAACGACTCGTCTGTGTCTCAGACACCGAGACAGACATTACCCCAAAAGACTATCTTTTCATTAATTTTTAATTTTTATGGCGAATTGGATGACTGTCTGAACTATCTTTTCTCATATGATTTTGATGGAGAGACACATAAAAAAATACATCCATTTCCCTATCATTTAATACATTGCATATTACTATTAAATTCTTAATTAATTCCCAAACCATTGCATAGGAATATTCTGATTGCTATTTCTAATATAACTTTTTATGTATTTGTAATTTTACTTTTTTATGTCTATATACCCCAGTATTATATGAATTATTATTTTTTTATTATGTCTTCACTATTTCGGTCGTAGTTTTTAATAAGAGATGAGCTGAACATTGCTGTACAAAGTGCTATACTGTAGACACAGAGCACTGTTAGGTTAGACATAATTTAGTTTTTTTGTTCGCGTATAACATAAATATATTTTTATGAAATTCCGTGATATATGCAAATTTGTTCGCTTTCTCTCTGCACACAAAATCACATAAAAACTATTTCCTGACTTTAAACATGATTTTTCGTTTTTGAGTATATTTTTTCATACTTTCCTCTCCGCCGATATTTCTATTTATATTATTTTTTTGGTGTGTTTTTATAAATATATTTATCATTTCTTACATTATGTTGAATTTGGTGAATGTGTGATACCTTAGAAAAACATGCATACTAGTTACTTACTACGGTAGTAACAGACAATGATAATACAAAAATTGTTATATTTTGTATGTATTTGATCATTATACATGCAATTTTTTATTGTTTTTTTATATTTAAAAATCTGTGAATAGGTATCCAATTTAATTGTAAATATTTAAGTAATTATACAATACAACAAAGTTAAAATAGTAATAATTTTAAACATTTATTTATAATAAAATAACATATTGCATAGAGTTTACATTTTAATAATCGGTTTAATATTATTGCTCTCGACTCATGAATTACCAATAAAATAATTATATAATAATTAAAATGACTTGGTAAATTTGATGAAAAATGCCTATCTGCACTTTGATGTCATTATTCATTGTATTATTATTATACTATAATTTTATTATAATGTAAAATTTTAATACAGACTTTAGATACAGTGTGAATAACAAGCTAAATATTATTTTTGCATTGCCCCACAGAGACCAAATATGATCCTGGTATTGGTGAAATAATGTATGGACGTCTTGTAACTCAAGATAAAATGGTAGCACTGGCTGCACAACAGGCATCGGTGGGCCAAAAGCCCGCCGTCACCGAAGATATAGCATCAGTGGTTGGGCTGAACAGCGCGCCGGTGGCCACCAGAATAGCGCCGTTCAAATACCGGGAGTCGCATACCGCTCCCCTCCGCAAACTCAGCGTCGACCTCATCAAGACATACAAACACATCAATGAAGTGAGCCATCAATTAATTCATTTATGACCAGTTTTAGGATATCCTAAAAATACTCAATAAATTTCGGAATATTCTTGGGATTCATAAAGTTTTCTGTGAATTGAATGCTAAATATATTTCTGTTTAATTTGAAGGTATATTACGCTAAGAAGAAGCGGAGGGCACAGCAAACACAGGGCGACGACAACGCCTCCCATAAGAAGGAGCGGAAGCTGTTTAACGACGGCTACGACGACGATAATCACGACTACATCATCAGAAACGGCGAGAAGTTCTTCGAGCGCTACGAAATCGACTCATTGATCGGGAAGGGCTCGTTCGGACAGGTGGTGAAGGCGTACGACCACGACGACCAGTGCCACGTGGCCATCAAGATCATCAAGAACAAGAAGCCCTTCCTGAACCAGGCGCAGATCGAGGTGAAGCTACTGGAGCTCATGAATAATCATGAGGGCAACGGTACCTCGTACTCGATCGGCAAAGACAAAATCGGTATGTTTTCTTTGCCTACTCTCTCTGCCATATATGCCATTCCTCTGTCATCCCTATGCCCTGCACTCAACCACTGCCTATCAATCATTGTCAGAGATGGCCGGACTCACTGTCTGTCTGTCTGTGCCCTCTGTTTCTAATGACAATTCAATTTGATGTCAATTCGCTGTCTATTGAATGTCATAAGAAAATCGCATCAAATATGAGTCCTATTCACTGTCCGATAACTAATGTCTCGTCCATTTGTTGTGCCATTTATTTCTATGTATCGCCACGACGTCGACGACCAAATTGCAGTCAAACTAAAGGGTCATTTCATGTGGAGGAACCACTTATGCCTAGTCTTCGAGCTATTATCCTATAATTTATACGATTTGTTGCGAAACACCAACTTTCGCGGCGTGTCGTTGAATCTGACGCGAAAGTTTGCCCAACAAATGTGTACCGCTTTGATGTTTCTGTCAAACCCCGAGCTCTCGATCATACACTGCGACCTCAAGCCCGAGAATATACTGCTCTGTAGTCCCAAACGAAGTGCCATCAAAATTGTCGACTTTGGCAGCAGTTGTCAACTCGGAAAGAGGGTATGAAACACACATCCATTCAATATAATACACATTCCTTTTCATTATATTCTGTGATTTTTTTCGCTACAAAACATTTTTATTATCAATTTTGCCTCTCTCTCTCTCTCTCTCTTTCTTTCTTTCTTTCTCTCTCTCTCTCTCTCTCTCGGACTCTCTATTTTTTCTTCTAATACTTGTTCACTCATGAGTTGTTTTACTAAACTATATATAAGTTACAAAATAATAATACTTATATACAGTGCAGTATAATATACATGACTCGCACAGGCACTCGAATCAGTCATGTTTTTTGACATTTGGATCGATAATAAAAAAGTGATTTTTTATTTTCGACTCAAAGAATGAGTGAAAGGAAGCGAACAAAACGAATGGAGAGAAAAGTCTTTCTCTCTCTCCTATCGTAGTGTTTGTGTCGATCGGAAACACAATATTATATTTAATTATTGACATAATATTTATATATTTGATACTAATGTCTGTGTACTCCCGGCGCCCGTATCAACAGATATACCAATACATTCAGAGCCGATTCTATCGATCTCCAGAAGTGCTGTTAGGCATTCCCTACGACATGTCGATCGACATGTGGTCGTTGGGCTGTATTCTGGTGGAGATGCATACGGGAGAGCCCTTATTCAGTGGGGCCAACGAAGTGGACCAGATGAACAAGATCGTCGAGGTGCTCGGCCTACCACCCAAACCCATCGTAGACCAGGCGCATAAGGCCCGCAAGTATTTCGACAAATTGCCCGACGGCTCAAACGTCCTCAAGAAGACCAAGGATGGCAAGAAAGTAAGGCTTTCCCACTAATTAACCAGGCTCACTTAGTTAATGTAGTCAGCCAGCAGTTTTTGCAAACAGTTGTGTCATTGTTTAGTCGCGACTATGATATTACAGTAAATTGTATTAGCGTTGACTCAATCAACAAGTTTTGTTATGTCTGAAGTCAGCTCAAAACAGATATACTTACCTGTGATATGTACTTGTAATACATCTTTTTACACAATAGCTATGTTTGAAACAATTTTTTCTGTGTCTATCTCTCTCTCACGTAAACCTCTTTTTTCTGGAAGACTATCATTGCATGAGAAGGCTATCACTGTCTGAGACATAACTATAGTATCCGACTGTACTTTACGTTGTGAACCAGAATCTAATGACACGCTTTGATAGGTTTAATAGGAATATCTCGATATATATATTATATTATGGTTACAGATATTGATAGACAGACTGAGAGTATTACAGGTTTACGATGTCATGCGAAGCGACACAACATACTAAACACAATCACTCGCGAAATAAATACATTACCATTGGGTATGAAATTAATTTTTCGTGTCTTTTTTTGCATCGCCGTCACCATTAGTATAAGGCTCCGGGCGCTAGAAAGTTGACGGACATACTGGGCGTGGAGTTGGGCGGCCCGGGCGGTCGTCGACTGGGAGAGCCCGGCCACTCGGTGTCGGACTACTTGAAGTTCAAGGATCTCATCCTCCGGATGCTCGACTACAACCCAAAGACCCGCATCACTCCACACAACGCCCTACAGCACAGCTTCTTCAGGCGTACCTCCGATGGCAGCACCAACACGTCCAACAGCACCAGTTCCAGCCCGGCCATCGAGCAGGGCCTACTCAGTCCCAGCGCCATGGGCTGCGCCGGTCAATGTCCCACCGACTGTGAGTTGACTTTCCTTTTATTTGCTACACATTTCAATGAATGGTGCCATCAATTGATGGCTATTTTGTGTGTCGAGTCGTTAGACACGAATAGAGGCCTCGAAAGCGAGTCTATTAACGCAAACCACAGCTAATCATAAGTTAATGTCTTTTCCTTTCTCTCTCTCTCTCTCTCTCGCCGTCTATGACAGTGACGAACATTAGGGCGCATTCAGACCCAACTCATCAGCACTTCGGCCATTCATTACACGGCTATCACCTGCAGAACAGTTACACACAAACCGGAGGACCATTTCATGTCATTAGCGACGGCTTAATGCCCAACAGCTCGGCGCTCAACGCCAGCCTCCATCACATGGTGTGCTCGTCGGCGATGGACTGCGAGAGTCCGGTGACGAGCACTACGGGAGGGATGGCCTTAAACTTTCACGACTCGCGGCTCGGCTCGAAGGCCTGGGCGCCCATCACACCGACCAACTCACTGACATCGCCGCCCCATTCGCTAACATCTCCCACACTATACAATCACTCGTCGCAGACACAGCACCTGAGACTCAATAACATAAGCCATGCGAACGGCGCCAACGGTTCCAATAGTCAGCCCCATCCGCACCACTCCTCGCGAACCGCACCACCCGTTCAGCCCTTCACTCGACAGCCGGCGCGACACCCGAACCATAATACACAACAACCGCCGCACACGCCATCGGCCGCGTCGGCCAACTCTCACCAACAGTTACCCCACACGACATCCAGCCTCCAGGTGGCGGCCATCTCGTCGTCGTGTCCGTCGGCCTCATCCACCTCCTCGTCCTCGCATAACAACCCATTGACACCATTGACGCAATCGCTCCAGAAATCCAACTCAAACTCAATGACATCCCCGGCCTCCTCGGGCTCATCATCCGACTTCTCAGTGCCAATGGACACGAGCGCCAACACCCCGGCCTTCGCGCCGGCATTCGTTCAGCAAAACCCGACGACATTTCAAGGCATGACAGCATTTCAGACGACGTCCTACCCATCGGGCGCCCACTCGCTGTTCAAAAGCCCCGGCTATCACCTGAACCCGACGCCCAACGCCACCCTCGGCTCGGCGACGCACGCCTTCTCACAGGTGGTGCCCCTCCATCAGCCCCTCCACCACAGTCTCGGCAGTCCTGCGGTCACGTCATCGACGTTAGGCCAACAGCAGAGACAGACGACCACCGGTTTGGTGGAGTCGGTGCTGAAGCGGTCGCGACAGAGCTATACGTCGGACGAGACGGTCGACAGAGACGAGTCCTCGCCGATGGTTATGGTTCACGACTCCCTGCCCTCACTCTCACTACCCCTTCTGCCACCTCTGCCCACACCGGGACAGCACTCTATATCACGGCCACAGCATTGACTATAGTGTCAATTAGTAGGTCTTATATTCAAATGAACGAGTGATTTATTTATCATTTTATTTCCTAATATTTATCTTATTTTTTATTTATTATTAACTAAAATGACTTAAGAGTAAGGAATAAATAATATTATAATAAATAAGAATTAAATTAATTGAATGATTGTCTAAAATAATAGGCTCTGTTGTGATGTTTTTTGTTGATGTCTAACCATTTAAGAGATGATTATAAGAAATATTTATATTCCCTTTTATTTCCGACAATATTTAGAGAAATTTAAACATTGTTTTGCGATTAAATTAATTTCTGATTTTTCGATACAGTTTTTAGTTTTTGTTTTTTTCGTCAAATGTATATACGATTACAATAACATTATTATTATAAGCAATCATGAAATGCATTCTCATTCACACGGAAACCCCTATTATACATATAAATATTACATATATATACGATACAGTAGTATATATTACATAACATACTGTATATATCATTGATGTTTTAAAAAGCGAAATCATTATACAAAATATTATTTAAATGAGAGTATAGTTATAAATGAAATATAAATTAACTGATAATTAAAATGGGAGGAAAAAAGTGTTTATGTTTTTTGTTTGCTTCGGTGGAAACAAAACCCTTTTTTGCACCAACACATGAAAATGAAAGTGATTCCACATTATATTATATATATATTGTAATTCATCATCAGTTGTATGAAAATTTTCAGTGAATATAAAAACCATTAATTTCAACAAAAACTTTTCGAAAACAAAAAAGAGATTTTTAATTATATTTCTGAGACATTAATTATTATCACATATTTATAATACAGAGTAAAATGACACAAAATTTCAAAAATATAATATAATTTTTTGGATAAAAAAATTGTAACTAAACATTAATGAAAATGAAACGTGTGCTCAAAACTTATATATATTATTATAAATATATATATATATAATATTTAAATGTGAATTCAAATACCACTATAAGAGAAGTTTTTTGTCGTGTAAATAGTATTTAAGAAAATAATAATAATGAATAATAATTATAATATTAATACAAGAGTTTTTGATAGCGTGTCTCCAAATGAGATAAGAGAAAAGTTTTGTTTTTGTTTTGTTTTACCCTTTTTTTTGGATAAATTATTATTAAATGAAAAGTTTTAGATTCATTTGAAAAGACAATTATTATGTAAAATGTTTTTATAAATGTAATTAATTGTAAAGCGAAAACCAAAGGCAATGAGTTTAGGAAAAAGTTTTTTATATACAGTATATGAGAAAAACGTTGTATTGTTTGACAAAATTGTGAAACTAATCATTTTCATTATATCATACAAACAACATTAAAATGCTTTAATTTTTATGGTTTTTGTATTTCGATGTATTTATATATAACTTATATACATATTTAACAAACAAAAGTTAAAGTATTTTAATGTCTATTACAAAAAGACAAATCTTTTCCCTTTCGGCACTTCTATTAATCATTACAGTTATTATTATTATTATTGGATATTATAAGTAATATTTGATTATTATAAATGAAAAATTCATTGTTTACAAGCAGGGTTACTATAGAACACCATTCAATGGCTATACAATATATTACTGATGAATATTTGTCTAACAAAACAATAAATGATAAAAAACTATTTAAACTATATTTGAATGAATTTCTAAACAAAAATGTATTCCCAATGCTATTCTCGCGTATAAATAGTATTGACTTTTGGTATTCATGTGTTGTTTGCAGTCATAAGAAACTAATTATCAAAAGAAACGAAAACAACACGAGAAAACATATTTAAATTAGAAAATAATACAAAACAATATTTTGATAATTAATTTCTCATTGATTGATAATAATAGACGACATACTGTTTATAGGCGAGACTCTGG